TGGGGTGCGGGGGAGGGCCGCCTCCCCCCCCCAGCCTGAAATTGTACAAGGGAGCCTGGAATTGTACAACATGTGATTCCATCTGTCCTCGGATTGCTATGGTCCAGGTGGAAGGCTCTCTTGTTAGCAGATGGCTGTCACACTGACTGTTCAGAGTGACAGGAAATATATTCCTCTAAGGGTATAAAAAAGATTAATCTATTGCTGGGCCACACGCGCAAATCCAATCTCTCTGTTCATATATGGAGATTTGCTTAAGTCCTGATTTGATTTAAGAACATGTTAAAGTAGTTACTCCTCGGTCCTTATCAGATTAAGCTTCAAGCTAGCTTTGCCTTGTTCATCTGGAAGCTTGTTCTCCTACCTATATGTTGTTGTTGTTGTAGCTAGTAATTATCCTGGACCTGTTCATTCTTTTGGGGTAGGGAAACGGCTACATTATTGCTTTAAAGAAATCCGAAGACCCAGTTTTCCAGGGGGTAAAATTCCTCCTCAGTAGTGCTTAGCAGTCCTCCCAGGGCTCATCTTTGTGGCAGAGGGGACAGGCACACATACCCAAAGCTCATTTTCTCAAGTATGTGCATGTAGGTGGGTATTCACCAACTGTAATGAGGCAAGGAACTTGCCTATCCGTCACTGCTTGGAGAAGCTGGTATCCAGCCAGGAATGGACACTGCTGGTCTGAGCAGTGAGGTTGGTAACCCACTTTTCCTCTAACTTAGGCAATTTAGTTTGAAAAGTTGAAGTCTGCATATACTGATGTCACTCAGGCTCACACTATGCAGCTCTGTGTCCATCTAGCGACTAGATTACAACAGGTTTACAAGCCTGTTACTGGTTTTGAGCCAATCAATCTAGGTCTGTTAAATCAGGTAATACAAAAGGATACTTCAAGGTCTAAAGATTCAAGGTCGTTTCCATAGCCCTATGATACACTGAACAAAATGGTTTGGGTTAAATTTTTTTTGCGCACTCTCTCTCAGGATTCATGTTGTTTGGGTAATTCATATAGGTGCCCCCATGAGAAGAGAACTCTGTAGCAGCGATAGAGACGCTGTAATGGGTAAAGAGTTATAAAGACGGCAAGCCTAGGTTCCAGTCAGTTGAGGACCCTGGAGAGGGGAATTTGCTCCCAGTGGGCTGTTGCCATCAGGCTGGGGTGTGGGAGAAGCCAGAAACCCAACAAGGAGACAAGACATTGGTGGGTAAAAGCTTGTTCCTTTTGCTCCGTGCTGGAGGGGACCTGGAGGGTTGCCCTGCCTGACAGAAGTGGCCTTTGGGACTCTGGATTCTAAATGAACTGATTGGTAGGCCTGTGCAAAGCAGCTAGTATTTGCTCTGGATTCAGATTTGGCCAGTTTGGGGGACAGTGATTCGATTCGGTGATTCAAATCACTATCCCGATTTGATTCTGTCAGTCCAGCAATGGGTGCCCCAGCTCCTGGCACTTGTTTAAAAAAAAAAAAAAAGCCCCGGTTCACCAGGTGCTGTTGGGAAGGGGGCAATCCCTGCTGCCCCACGTTGCATGGGGGACTCTGCACGAGCCTCCCAACCCCCCCCCCCTTGCTTCCCCAGCCTGCCACGGGTTCCCCACCCAGGCCAGCTCTGGCCCTTTAAGAAGAAAAAAAAACCCTGAAAAAACCCACAGACCACTCCTGCCAATGGAGGGCGATCCCCACTGCCCCGCACCACCCTGCGCCATGTGGGGGCTCTGCATGAGCCTCCGAAGCCCCAAGGCCACTGCAGGAGCGGAGAGTCCCGGGGCTTTTCTTTCTTAAATGATGAGCTGGCCCAGGTGGGGCATCTGTGGTGGGGCTGGGGGAGTGAAGTGGTGTTGGGGGCCTCATGTAGAGCCCCCTGTGCAGTGTGGA